CTCTCTCCTTGTCCCACCTACTTCCTGCCTGGCCACTGGCCAATCAGTGTTTTATTTATTGACCAATCAGAGCAATTTGACATACAGACCATCCCACAGCAATCTGGGAATCAAACACAGATCATCTTGTTGGGTTTATTTGTCTGTCTGTCTGTGTCTGTATGGATGTATGTGTGCCACTTCCATGCCTGACAACATCACAGGTTAGCAGAGGACATTTGATGCCCGGGAACTGAAGTAACAAGTGGTTGTGAGCATCTGATGTAGGCACCAGGACCTGAACCTGGGTCTTCTGGAAGAGTAGCAAACACTGGACTGATGTGCAGCTCCTCCAGACCCTGAAGCATTCGTTTTATGTACAACGATGGCTTATTTCAAAAGCAGAAGATACTGATGGTATTACATTTTAAAAGTAGCCACTCTGGCTGCTAAAACATCCTCCATGTCTTTGGCACTGTGGAAGTATAACCCCCTTGCACTTTAAGTCAGGATCCTACCTGACTTTTTGTCAGGTATTTATGGCAGCAATAGGAAAGCAGATGATACACCCTGATTTGGTGACAGAGTCTCATCATTGCTTCTGCCTACTTGGAAGACCTTGAAATTGACTTTCTTTCTTCCTCAACCACCCTAGCCAAGAAATAACCCAGCTGCTCCTAGACCTCCTTGTTGGATCTGACCAGAATGCCAGTACCATTACCATGATCATTGCTTTGAAGCCTGCTCTCCATATCCAAGTCATTCTCAGAGATGTCCTCCTCCTGATTGTTAGTTGGAAGAAAGTCAGTGGAGTGACTCACACATTGGTGTCTGTAGCAGGTGAAGCCACACTGTCTTACACAAGAACCAGATCAGCTTTCCTTTGGTTTATATCACGTAATCAGAACCAAATAGGTGTTTAAATATGTTTTTACACTGTGTTGTTGAACTTTTACTGATAAGCTAGAAAAACACTGTAAGACACCTTCATTCTTCTCACAAAGATGTAGTATAGTCACAAATATTATTCACAACTAATTACAGAATTGCCATAGTGTCAGTTGTGCTACATGACTGTTCTGTGGCATTTCACTGTCACACCCATGTCCTGGGGGGCCAGGGGTAGAATACGGTGCTTTGAATAACAAACTGACTCAAAGGCTTGTGTACTTGAATATTTGATTCTATGGATGGTGGCAATGTTTTGGGGAGATGATGTAATGTGTAGGACTTGAAGCCTTGCTTGGGGAAGTAAATCACAGGGTGAGGGCTTTGCAAATTTGTAGCCTCACCCCACTTCCTGACCAACCTCTCTGCTTTCTGAATGTAGCTGAAAATATAATCTCAAGGCTTTTCTCTGTGGCCCACCTACTCCATGCCTTGGCCAAAATCCACCATATCACTGCAACAGAAACCAAAGTTATTTCTTCCATTGTGATTCTGGTGTTTTATTATAGTAACAAAAAAACCACTAATACAGAAAACGGTGTCAGAAAAATGAGTTATTGCTGTGATGGACCTGATCGTGTTGCTTGGGAGAGGATTATGGAAATGTGGTGTTTTGACATAGAAGATCCACTGAGTGCTCAAAACTGAATAAGCTTGCATGTAGAAATTTTTTTAATATATCACCACACTTTTTCTTTTTCTTTTCTTCTTTTTTATTAAAAGATTTTCTATTTATTTTACATACCAACCACAGATTCCCCTGTCCTCCCTCCTCCTGCCCACCTCCCCAGCCTTACCTCCCAACCCACCCACCCCCCATTTCCACCTCCTCCAAGGCAAGTCATTGGGTGTCAGCAGATCCTGGTACATTCAGTTGAGGCAGGTCCAAGCCCCTCCTCCCGGCACCAAGGCTGTGTAAAGTATCTCACCATAGGCACTAGGCTAAAAAAAAAAAAGCCTGCTCATGCACTAGGGACAGGTCCCAATCCCACTGCCTGGGGTTCCCCTAAATAGTTCAAGCTAAACAACAGTCTCACTTATCCAGAGGGCCTAGTCCAATACCATGGGGGCTCCTTAGCTATTGGTCCACAGTTCATGCGTTTCTACTAGTTTGGCTGGTCGTCTTTGAACATTTTCCCATCATGATCTCGATGTCCCCTGCTCATAGAATCCCTCCTCTCTCATCGATTGGACTCGGGAGCTCCACCTGGGACCCAGCCATGGATCTCGGCATCTGCTCCATCAGTCACTGGATGAGGGTTCTATGATGACAGTTAAGGTGTTCACTAGTCCGGTCACCGGAGTAGGTCAGCTCAGGCACCCTCTTGAATTTGGAAAACAATGGAGAAAGGAGGGCAGACGAGGGAGTCTTGGCTTGTGGAGGGGGAGAGGGCAGCCACGTCTCTTTGGAGCTGCCTGTGAGAAGTTTGGGTTAAGAATCTGTGAGGTGAAACCTTCTGTCCTTTTCCGGGACAATGGCTACTGGGTGTCCAGGACTGGGAAATCAGATGACTAGGGGACCAGCATCATAGACACAAGCTCTTCTGAGAACTGTTTCCTTCACATCCACACACAGCAGCTCTGGCTCAGCGGGGCAAGGCCGCCTCCCAAGCTGGCACCCAAACTTGGTGATGTGTCAGAGTCTCTGTGGGCTACTTGCTATGGTGGCATAAAGCTGCAGGACTGAGGGGTTGTGGAAAGAAGCTGAGGCTTGGCACCATGTGGAAGGGCCAGAGTCCCTAGAGAGAGGCTAGGCAAGGCCATTGGTGAATGATCGGTTACTAGGAGACCTCAGCATATTAGAGATCGCAGGATGTGGAAGGCAGTGTTTTTGGAGTGGAGCTGGCATGAGCCTCCAAGACAAGGCCTGGATGCTGTGGGTGGCTGTGTGAGATCTGCAACTCTGCAAGCCTTTGAGTCCAGAAGATGGTGAGTGATTCCTGGGTGTCGGACATTGCGCTTCTTGCACTAGTTTAGTTTCGTTTTTCTTTCCTTTTGTGACTGATTTCTTCTTGCTTCTTTGAACAAAAGAGCACATTAAACTTGTTTTTTTTTTTTTTTGGCAGGAACCTATAGTTAAGAGACTGGATTTTAAAAGAGAACTTGGACTTTTAAATGGTGGGCATTATTTGAAGACTGTGGGACTTTTGACATTGTACACTATTTTATATAATATCAACATGAGATCTTGGAGAAAAACAGGAAATGCTATGATCTAACAGTGGCCTGCTTGTGTGTCAAGTTGACAAGAGGTGACTTGTGCTATTTGATCTTCACTGTCAACCTCACACACCGAGGAGGGAATCTACACTGGGAAATCGCTTCCAGGAGATCAGCTTGTAAGAATGACTGTGGGGATATTCTTGACTTCTAATTGATATAGGAGGGCCCAGACCACTATGGGTGGTGTTACGCCTTAGGCAGGTGGGGTGCACTATCTAAGAAAAATAACTGAGCAAACTAGAGAGAGCAAATCAGTAAGCAACATTCCTTCATGGTCTCTGCTTAGCTTCCTGGCTCCAGGTTACTACTTTGAGTTACCGCCTTTGCTTCCCTTGAGGGTAGACTATAACCTGATAGATGAAATAAGCCCTTTCCTCCCCAGCTTGCTTTTGGTCAATACGTTTGTCATACCAATGGAAAGCAAATTATAATGTGTGCATTTGACAAAATGTAGGAACAGAATATAATTAAAATACTTATTAATGACTGCACCAGCAGGACAATGACACAGAGAAAGAAGCATCTTTGCTTTAACCACTAGACGATGACAACAACCTACATTAAACTCTGGACCAGATGACATGGTAATTTCTTTGTCTAAGGAGTACAAAACTAAAATACTGAGTCATAACATTGAGAAGAGCAACTAAAGGATGATTCACTAATAGACTCTTACCACTGCTTTTTCCTATTAGGAAGACCCTAATAGACTTTCTCTGTCATCCAAGGAGAGGGAATAACATGACTGCTCCTAGACCGTCTCATTGGCTATGGCCAGGAATGCTATTACATACCACTAACACCTTGTTCTGTTTCTAGGGTGTCATTAGACACATTGACCATGTACTTGCTGCCATCTGTACCATCGATATCTGGAAGGAAGGAAGTGGAGAAAGTGACTCACGCATTGGTACCTCTAGTAGGTTAAACGCACATCATGAAATAACAATCTCAGCCTTCCTTTTGGTCATAGCATTCAGTGAAGACCACAACAGTAGATTAAATGTGGTGGGGGTTTTTGTTTTGTTTTGGTTTGGTTTTTGGTTTTTGGTTTTTAGAGACAGGGTTTCTCTGTGTAGTTTTGGTGCCTTTCCTGGATCTCACTCTGTAGACCAGGCTGGCCTCGAACTCACAGAGATCCACCTGGCTCTGCCTCCCGAGTGCTAGGATTAAAGGCGTGCGCCGCTGCCGCTGTCGCCGCCGCCGCCGCCACCACCACCACCACCACCCAGCTAAATGTGTTTTTAAGTCCCCTGTTTGTACTTCTTTTCAGGAGCTAGGAAATTAACACTTCACATACTAAAAGATTTTGTAGACATCTTCATTTTATTCACAGAGGAAACACAGTAAAATATACAACTTTTGTTAATATAATATAAATAATGGATTACCACATTATCATTGATAGAGTCACAGGACTTTTATGCTTTGTTTAATGTCACTTGGCCATGTGTCTAAGGGGCCAGAGCATAATATGGTGGTTTCAATAGGAAAAGCTCATGTATCTGACTATCTGGGTCCCCAGTTGGTGGTGGTATTTGGAGAGGTCATAGAACATTAAGGTCCTGGAGTCTTGCCGACCAAAGGGCATCACTGGGAGTAGGTGTTGAAAGTGTACAGCCTCTCCCCACTTGCAGCCCCGACTCTACTTTCTGAATATGGTTGAATATTTGATCTCCCAGCTTCCTGCTCTGGCTCTTATGCTCCTGGGCTTCTCCTACCATTACAGGTTCTATCTCTGGAAATGCAAGTGATTGACACACTTTCTTTTTTAAGTACCTTTTGCTGATGATGTTTTATTACTGCAACAGAAAAGATACTAACACAGAAGTCAGCAGCAGGAAAAGTGAAATATTGCTGTGATAGACCTGATCAGTTTATTTTGAGGAGGATTGTGGGAGCATGCGGAACTTAACTTGAGCCATTGAGTGCTCAGAGCTTAATAGGTTGGTTTGTCAGAGTTTCAAAAATAATGCTGAAGGCAGACAATACAGGTCTGAGCCGTGAAGTTTTGCACAGCAATAGAGACTCTGTGGGGTTATTAGCAGGTGTGAAGTGGAACTGGCGTGAGTCTACAAGACAAGGTGTGTGCGCTGCTGCTGCTAGAACCAGAGAAGTATGAACTGCCCAGGACACAGGATTGAGTGGGTCGTAGATACTTGGCACTGAGTGTCTTAAACTATGGGATTTCAATTGTGTTTTCATGTAACTGTGCCCTGATTCTTCCTTCTAAAGAAAGCAAGGTATATAACATCTTTTATATTTGACAAGAGCCTATAGTTAAGAGACTTTGGATTCTTAAAGAGAATTTGGACTTTTACATGGTTGGAATTATTTCAAGATCATGGGACTTTTAAGATGGTACAGTATTTTATATATAATATTAATGTGAGATCTTGGGGACAAAAAATAAAGAAAAGGTTATGATTTGAATTTAACAGCAATGTGTTTGTGTGTTGAGTTGATAAGGGGTTATTTGTGATGTCAGTCTCCACTGTCAGCTTCACACACCTGGAAAGAGGGACCTAAACTGGAGAATTGCCACCATCAGATTGGCCTGTGGAAATTGATGTGGGGCATATTCTTGCTTGCTAATTGGTAAAGATGAGCCTAGCCAACTGTGGGTGGTGCTGTTCTTTCACAGGGTGGCCAGAGATGTGTATTAAATGTACCTTAGCAAGCCAGAGAGGTCAAGTCAGTAAGCGTTCCTCCATGGTCTCTACCTCCCTGCCTCCAGGTTTCTGCTTTAACTCTCTCCATGATGGACTATAACTTAAGATGAAATCAATCCTTTCTTCCCCCAAGTTACCCTTAGTTAGGTGTTTATCAGAGCAACAGAAAACAAACCAGAACAGTATGACAGAGGGTAGAACACAGAAAAGAACTAATGAGAGCATGAATAGGACAACAATTCAGGGAAGGAACATCTTTAACTACCCAGATGAGAACAATCTACATTAAATGCTGGACCACACGAAATTATCACTTCTTTGTCCTTGGAGTATATTGTCTTCCTTGAAGAATGGTTACAAAGAGTGAAATAAGAAGCTGAGCCCCTGCCTTTCTACCTAGAGTCCAGATTATGTGACATGAGATGGTCAATCTACACAAGACCTTACATCATACTGTGTGTTTGATTTGTGTGTTAAATGTCCCCATAGCTTCATGTGTTTGAATTCTTGGTCCCTAGCTGGTGGTGTGGCTTGAAAAGGGATTGCCTCCAGCAGGAGGTGGATCTTCCCTGGAGGAAGTGAGTCTCTGGGAAAACTTTTAGGCCTTGGAGCCCAGCCACACTTCTGTTAACTCACTGCCTCCTGACAGTGGATGCAATGTAAACAACTGGCTGCCTACACTGGCTAATACACCTTCCATGCCAGCTGCCATGGCTTCCCCACAATAATGGAATCATCTCTTTAACTACTAGCCACAATAAACCCTTTCTCAATTAAAGTGCTTGTCAGGTGTTTGGTCATAACATGAGAACAACAACTAAATATAATAATTAATAATAAAGTTTTATCATTGCTTCTTGCCCACTTGGAAGACCTTTCAAACTAACATTCTCTCCTAAATATCCAAGGAGAAGGAATAACGTGACTAATCCTAGACCCTCCCATTGGATCTGACCAGGAACGCCATTACTACCTACCACTACGACCAAGATAACCACTCTTCTCACCATCCATGTCCTTCTCAGAGTCAACTTGTTTGAGATCATCAGTATCTGGAAGAAAGTCAGTGGAGAGATGGATCAGACCCGGAATGACCTACCACCACCAAGTCCGTCTCTTTGAAGGCTGTTCTTGCTACCCAAGTCATCTTCAGTGTGTCACCACCCATAGTGTTTGTATCTGGAAGAAACCAGTGGAGAATTGGATGTGACCAGAAACGACCTCCCACTGCCAAGATCATCGCTTTGAAGGTTGCTCTCCTTACCAAGTCGTTGGCATCATTGCCCTCATCCATATCTGAAAGGAAGAAAGTCGAGAGTGAGTAGCTCATACCTTGGTGAATGTAGTAGGTGAAGGCCATATTGCCTCACCCAAGAACAAACTCAGCTTTTCTTTGGTTCACATTACTCACTGAGAACCACAATAGAAGTTTGCGTGTTTTTATATTCTGTGGTTGTAGTTCTGCTGATGAACTGGGGAGATTAATATTTCACATATTAAAAGAACAGCGCAAGAAATCCTCATTCTTTTCATAAAGAAAAGGCAGCAAAATCTACAACTAGTGTTGATAACAAAGTAATTATTGAATTTTCATAGTACCGTCCAGTAGTGCCGCAGGATGCTACAGTACACATAGTCTCCATTTCTGATATTTTTGCTGTCTTTTTGGAATTCCGTGTTTATAAAAATCTGCTGTTTTTACCACAAGAGCAACTGGAATGCATTCACAATGAAAGGATGTCAGTTGAATAGCACACAAAACAGGCAAATGAATTGTTGTTCTGTGTTTTAACATTTATCTCATTACTTATTTCCAAGCACACTCATTTGATTCAGGATGTTATTTCTGGAAGATCACAGACATCATTGTAAACTAATTGCAGATGTGACGTGGTCAGTATGGGTAAGGTCTCAATTCATGTGGATCAGACAGTATTGACAGAAGAGCAATGTGACTGAAGCTAAAGATGAACAGCATCCAAGTCATTTTTAAACCCACATGAACACAGTGAAATCTGTGCAGCTCCTCACTTAACTGTTCTTGGCACTATGACACTAAAATTTCCTAAGAACTCACATTAAGCCTAATGAATCTACAAAAGCAAATACTAGCAAATTTTTTTTAAAAACAAAAACACATGTCTACAAAGTGCTCTATAGTGTTTAATAAGTGCCAGAAGAACCAGCTAGATAGCAGTAGTTAGATCTGCTGTGATTTGTATGTGTCTCAGGACAGTGGACAATGTTTCTTCTCATCCTTTACATAACCAAGGTATTTTACATTCACGGGAAACACATGATACCATCTTCGGGGACAGGACTATCTACACCTCTTACTTAGAACCTGCAGAGACTGTATTAGTTACTAATTTTATTCCCTGTGAGAAAATTACTTGACAGGAAAGAAAACTGATAGAGATGGATGTACTACTTTTCAATCCCTGACACAAAAAGAGTTACCTCCAAAAGAACAGGAATGAGGGATGCTGGTTAGCTCAAATATGTGGCCTTCTCCTACCAACACCTTCACATTGTCAGCTTCCCCTCAGTGAGTGTTTCTAACCACGTTAGCGAATACAGCTAGGTATCATTGTTGTCTACATGTGGGATACAATGTCATTGACCGTGGCTGTGACTAACTCACTAGTTCCTGAGTTCCCACAGTTCCTTCAGTAGTGCTGCCAGGGCTTCCTGCGTCTCCGTGGGGCTCTGCTGTAGATCTCCCACTGTCATGTGAGGGCTTAACATTGCTTAGACTCCTTTTGGTGGTACCTGAAAAAACGATGAAAGTTCAACAAAAGGAGTTCAGTCTTGAGGGCAAACAAACAAACAAAGCAGAGGACAACCAATTACCACTCTGAGTTTAAATATTTTCAAAATGCTTTATCTCATTGTTTGCTTCTGGAACATTATTATTGAGAGCTGCTGGAAGCCAAAGGCCATGGGAGTATAGAGAAGGTGACAACTAGTGTTTAGAAGATCAACCTATCAGAACCAAGGGTTCTGTTGGAGAAAACCATCACTCAAGGCATTTTGGAATTACTGCCTTTTGAATGAATTGGCTGTTTCTTGTTGTAAACTTCTTGTACAATAACAGCTATGATTCTCCCCATTTACTGTCTGTTTCCAAGTTATATGTACATGTAATCTCATGATTGCATCTCAATCATTTGGGCACATATATATGTGGGTGGTCAGGAAGATGGCTTTCCATTTAGCTGTATAATATTAATATATAGAAAATATACTAGGATATGCTTCATAGCCAGATCCATTGTCCCACGAGACTGTAGACACTTAAAGCATCTGTTCCTTTTGCTCAGACTAACACAGAAAATAATAATCTCTCTTCAGTCTAACACAAACTCTACACATTTAGCTCATTTTTACCTCACAGCAAGTTCAAACTAGACTGAAAGCCTTTGTATATAGATCATAAGTTCAAAACTTTACAGTTACACACAAGGTCAGAGTTGTGGGTGTCTACCAAGGTTACTAACACTAAGAAAAGCCCACCAATTCTTCACTTGGCAAGTCTGCTGATAAAAAGCTATGTCTGTGTTGATAACAAAGTAATTATTGAATTTTCAAAGTACCATCAGCAGTCTGCTGATAAACAGCTATGTCTCAGAGTTTGTGGCACTGGGCACTGCGCCCCTCCCTCTGGTCCTGAAGCCTTGGAATCTTGTATTACTATGGTTGTGGCTCTGCTCCGTACTGTCTATTGCAAGGAGTCTCTGGTTAGAAATGTGAGAAGTCAGGCAAGAGAGAGGGATGAGAGAGAAAACTAAGAACAGAGAGAGAACAGCAGAAAAAGGTACAGAGAATCAGGGAAGAGAGGAGCTAAGTATGAGAGCAGAAAAGACGCTGTGTAGGTAGAATTGACTTAGAAGAGCAAAATGAATGGGCTGAAAGAGATCTGCATGCATAGATTCATTTGGTATCCCTCAGATTGGAATCCTAGCCTCTGTGAGCATCTTCCCCAGGCCTCTGGGAGAAATCTCCTCAGGGTAGGTACCTGGGGAACGGGGGACTTTCCTCACATCGTGGAGGTCAGTGTACACTTAATGTAGGCATTACATGGTCAAGAGAGGTAAGTTCTCTCTTATGGCTATGGCACAGTAGCAACAGAAAAGCAGTGTGAAATTTGTACAATTCTTTGCTTCTCTACTCTTTGCACTGGGACACCAAAAATTAAGAATCCTTCATAAACCTCATGAGTGTGAAAATAATTAACGACAAAGGCTTAGTTAAAAGCACTGGACTACAGAAATGTCATGACATTTGTTAAATGTAAAATACAAACAAGACCCCAGCTTGATTGAGTGGCTACTTGCAGAGAGGGTGTTAGCCTGGCCTTGGGCAATGGACAGTTATGTTTACTTTTCATCCTTTACACAGCACGGTGTTTTACAGGTCATGGACCACATACAGTGTCACCTTCAGTGGACCATGGCCAGAGAAAATGACACTGCCTACGTTTCACCCGAGGCTACTGGAGTATTTAATTTCATGCCATTATGACCAAATTGCCTGACAGAAAAAAATTAGAGATGAATGCTCTACTTTTGAATCCCTGACACAGAACATGAGTTTGCAAAAGAAGTCATTCAGAGACCTCAGAGGGGTAAATGTGTACCTGTGTCTGCCACCACCTTCATGATGCCTCCCTGTAGTCTCTAATAGCTCAGTCCATGGACACGGGACCCCTTCTGTCTGTCTGCCACAATGACTCAGAGGCCAGATCATGCCAACACAGTTGTCACGTGATGGTGGGGAGGAAAACAACACTATCTTTCAACTGATCAACCCCGAATAAACCTTCCTCATAAACTGGCAGGACAAGACGCCTAGATCACTGTGACTTAATGGACTGAGTGTGCGCATTCCACTTTCTCGCTGACAATTACCTTTGGCAGCAGTCTCTACAGCCAGACCAGGCCTGCCTCTGAGCGAGGGCTGCATTATCACTGATCAGTATGTGTCTTCCCTATTCACTCCTTCCTCAATGAAGTCCAGTTTTTACTAAACAAATTTTGTTTCCGTTCACTGGCTACCCAGGGGCAGGACACACAGTCCTGCTTCCTCTGAACTAAAGCCCTCCTTAGCAAATGCCTGAACAGACAGACACATCCTGGTATGACACCCAGTCATACCATTCAGTGCTGACTGTTTGCAAATGCTGAATAGATAGGCTCTCTATGTTCTCATCAGTCAACATGGAGACTGACCATCAGTAAGAGCAAATACTTTTAGAGCAGAGTCTAACTCATCTTTAAATGGGGTTGGTTAAAAGAAGGAGACTATATCGATTGGAGGCTTCTCTTTTTATTTATTTCTTTTCTTTCTCTTTTTAGTAGACATACGCCCTAAATTGTGTGGTGCTTTGAGCTCCTGAGAATGAGCTAAAGCATTTCACCAGTTCTTACTGGAACCTGTTATTTCTAGAATTTCAGTCGTGACACATATACAATTTGTTTTTCTTTGCTGTGACTTTGACTGTTAAAATCAATGCTCTCACTGGTGGAAGGTCAGCTCTAAGGTCAGCTCTTCTCCTGCTTGTCATTTCTGGTTCCCATTTTGTTATTGTCATTAGACATAGCCTCATTGTACAGCCAGGAGGACCAGAAACTGTCAGAGAGTGAGAATAAATACCAGCTCCTTATAGATTTGTGTGCTACCACTCAGGTTTATGTGTTACAAAAGACCTAACTGAGGGCCTCCTGCATCACAGGTAGACATTTTACCAAGAGAGCTATTTTCCCACACATGTGGGCTTTCTCTGGCTTTCACTCTTGTGGAAGGCTGCACCCAGGTGCATGGATGCTAAAATGGGTTTTGATTGTTGCTGTTACTTTCTATCTCTGGAGATTTGATTTGTTTGAGGTCCAGCTAGGGGCTGGAAACCTTCTACAGTGACTAATGGTATCTTGATAGGGTAGTAAGTGGAAGTTTCATCTCATAGCACTGATACTGGACCCTAAGTTTATGTATGCAATGGTGGTTCTTGGCCTATGTAGTCACACATCTCAACCACTTACCTCTGTGTCTTGGTTGATTCTTCTATGACAGAGTTCACAAAGAAATAATGCCAGCATGCATGGCTGTGATGAGTTCTAAACTAATATAGGGAAAATGTGCACTTTAATTTTTTTCTCATTGGAGAAATTGATATTGGGTTTAAATGACTGGGATTTCTACCTAGGAGAAATACAGATATAGACACATCCTGGTGCATAAAATCTCAAACTAAAATGATTACAACTAAGTGCATGCATAGTAAACATGCTTACAATTTGTTATTTGGGATATCACTGTGTGCGTGTGCATGTGCATGTGCGTGTGCGTGTGCGTGTGTGTGTGTGTGTGTGTGTGTGTGTGTGTGTATGTGTGTGTTTCTTTATCTAAAAATCTCAAGCGTTACTGTGAGCAGGTGGTAGAAATTGTAGTAGTGCACCTGAGAAAAGACAGGCAGTACTTGTAAATTTCTTATCTAAAATGTGTCTTAAGAGAGTGGCTCCTCAATACATACGATACGTTTTTCCCTCAGCACAACCTACAATTTGGAGAAAAGAAACACTCTTAGGTACAGAACAAGGTGAGTTTTATCTCCACAGTTTTTTTTTCCTCTCCTAGTACTTAGGGTAATTGTAATTAGGATGGGGAAGAATAGTCAAGACAAAGATTCTGTATTAGTCTGTCATATGGTGCTGTCCCAAATCAGGTCTCCCTATCACTCTACTAAGGGTTTTAGGATACACTGTCACATGGCAGAGAAATCCTTTTAAACCTGCTCTTACGAGTGCCCTTTGAGAAGTGCCTCCATGCCCCAATTAGCTACATTAAATGTCATGCTTTCCAGGTCTGGCTACTTCAATGTTCCTATAGTTGATACAGCAAACGTCTGTCACAACAGTTTCAAAAACCTCCTTACGCTGTCTAAAACATGGAACCCTGCAAGAGAAAGTGGAGATGACACAGATATACACACTCTTCATAAACACAAGTCAGCCGCCTTTGAAAACATTCATCTGTTGTATGTGTGCTCAAGTATATGTATGTGCATCACACGTGTGCAGGAGTCCAGGGAGGCCAGACAAATGGCATAGGGTGTCAGATCCTCTGGGAATGGAGTCACAGGTGGTTGTGAACCACCGTGAGGGTGCTTGGAACCGAACCTGAATCCTCTGCAAGAGCAGCAAGTGCTCTTAACCACTGAGACACTGCTACAACCCCATCTATTACCTTTTGAGTGTAAATTACACAACTTTAAAAATAAAAACGAACACTTGTTCAAGAAGAAAAGGCCTCCTAAAACACACCTGACAGTGACATTTTGAGTCAGGGATGATTTGGTACAATTTCATTTCATTCACTTCCTAAGTAAACAACTTAATGTGTAGTGTACATGATCTTTTTTATTATTCAAATATAGTATCTATTAAAAATGAAGGGATCAGGAAAGTAGCTTTTCTATCTTAGAAAATGTGATGTTCATCTTACCTTCGATGACCTTGCTGACTCTTTTTGTGGGGCTGTCAACAGGCTGTCCTCTAGAAAAACTAGAACACAAAATAAAATCTCAAGGTACAATTTGTAATTGCCCAGAAATCTTTGCTTTATATGAACAAAGATCTATGGCTTTACTCCATATGGCTGGAACGAATGGATGTCGTTCATTAATACGCATGATTGGGCTACTGCTGGAGCAATCTTTTCAAGAGGAAAGGGAAGGGGGGATAATACAAGAAGAGAAATGAGGGATAATAATTTTTGCCTCTCTAAGTATTGGGAATCTAAGACAATGTGCAATAATCCATGTTTGACTGTTTAAACACTAAAATGAATCTTAACCTTATACAGGAGCTCTACCATGTCTTCAAATCATTCTGAAGCCCAAGAAGATTGACATTTCTTTCTAGGAATCTCTCAAATCCATGTCAATGCCCACAAACTGAAATACACAGAATTTGCATTTGTCATTAAGCAAATGGGAATTTAAACTCGATAGTCTACATACTGTACTAGGGAAATAGACTTGGTAACAGGCACAAGATATAATTATATTCATCCACTTATCCTTTGATACACAATAAGATTACTGAACAGTAAAAGATACTGACGTTAGTACATTTTCTAAGTAGTAACTATATATAATGCAGTTCTTCTGGTCTTCCTTCAATATGCTATCCATTTGTTTTTGTGGTGTTGTGTGGCTGCCCATATTTGGCTCAGTGGACCCACAGTGTAGTGGGTTAGAATGAGGATCTGGCCTCTGTTGACCATTCCATATCAGAGTTTTCACTAGAATGATATATAACATTAATACTGGAATGCTATTCTGAGTTCTTATATTCCTGTCTCAGGTGTGCAACTCATACTGTCTCAGCACTTAACTTCACAAATATCACTAAAAGATATGCCCAGTTGTAACTGACTTTATGGCAGGGTTGGAGACTGATCAAGGACTCTCATAATGTGCATGCCCCAACCCTCAGTATCAGTGAACTAATCAAAACCATCAGTTCCTTGTGTTTTGCACATAATAACTAGAACGAAATCTGATATTCTTGTAGCAATATCTGCCCTGGTGTTTGTAAGCGTGGGTACGAAGTGGATAATGTATATAATTTATATAGGCCAGCAGAAATCCATACACAGATGATGGCTCTCTTCTATGGTAGCTAATAACTCCACAGCTGAATGATGAGCACAGGTCAACAATTAGCGTGTCACACATCTGTTTCTACCTTGGCCCAAAGAGTAGAGGAACTTGAATACTTTCATCACTCTCTCTCTCTCTCTTTGATTCTCCCCATAAGGGCATACATCTGTGCTGTTGGTGAGTGAGTTAATGAACACAAGGCATGTGGTTTAAATCCTCAGGCACGTTAAATTATTGGCAAAATAAACTGCCCAGTTCCGCCAGCTTAGCTTGACCACAGACTCATGAAAGTCTTGGATTCTAAATTCCAAAGCCATTATTCTTCTATGACATACTCCTACTTAGCTTGAAAGCAACCATTTTTCTTTCATGCATACTTGGGTAGACAAAACGAGTTAACAGTTTAAAACTTATGCCTATGTTGGCCTAAGTACACACTCACTGTCTACTCCTAATGCTAGGTTAGCATTGTTCTTCAGAATGTTCCAGTTCCAATACCTATTTCAATAAGGCAGTCCCAGAATGCTGGGTGCACTAACATTACGTATTAAAACATGTAATATTTTAAGACCTGAAAAACCCACCATCTTACATTACTGATGTGTCACAAATTTGAGTGTCTCTCCATTTAGCTACTGAGAAAGTCACAGGGAAGTCTAGAGCTCAGCTTTTGAAAGAGCTCAAAACGAAGGGTCAGGAGAACTAAGCCACACAGCACACTGAAACAGTTTTAGCCATTAACATCCTTTCAAATCTACAGGCAACCCCAATTTTCTCTGTGAATAATTCTAATCACATTATATGTATACATTATATACTAATTGCTGAATGTAAGACAGTATTAAGTTTATATGTTCCTATTTTCAGTCTTTACGATTGACCCTAGACCTCTATTTTTGTGTATTAAAACTGACTCCACACTGGAAAAGTAATTACCACATTTGACAATGCTTAGCTCTGCAGGGAAGTAGGTTGGAAAATTACTTCTAATTGATACCTCTGGCAATTCAGATGGCTCACAAAGCAAATGTTTTCAGATTAATGAAATATAGAAAGTGCATGTTCCTATGAACCATCACTTAAATGAAAAACAGGTATTCATAATTACCTGAATAAAATGAACCTTTCAGGGAGAAAAAGGGAGTGTGTGTTAAAAATAAAGATATACACACATTACTATACAAAATGCCTCAAAATATCTCGAAAATTTTTGATTCACTCCAATTTTTTGAGATTAATAATTTAAATACATATAACCTAAATCTTATCAAAATATACTTTACAAAAGTTATTACATTTGCACCACAGAGCATCTAGTAAAGAAGAGCTTAACAACATAAGTTATAATAGGAATTTACACACACACACACACACACACACACACACACACACACACACACACACAATGGCTAATATTGGTTGTCAATTTGACTACATCTTGAAACAGTTATAACCCAAGCTGCTGGACATTCCTATGAGGGATTTTCTTGATTTGATCATTTGAATCAGTAAGGTCCAGCCTACGTCTGGGCTGCACCTTCTGGTGTCGGCACAGGTACAAGGACATGGAATAAGGAAAGTCTGTTGTTTGCCTGCTTGCCTCACTCTCACTGGTGAGCACAGCGACCCTGCTGCCGAGGCATTCCTTTGCCAGTCTTAGCACCAACTTCCTTGGGACTCCAATGTACACTGAAGATCAGCAGCTCCAGTGCCAGACTGAGAACGCTAAGACATCCAGCCTTTGGACCCAACCACTGCCGGATTCTGTCTTTTAAGCATGAGGCAGCCTTTGTTGAACTACCCAGACAGCATCCCATAAGCCAATTTAATAAGTTCCCTTGATATGTACATATATATTCTCTCTATTCTGTTCCTTAGGAGCCCTATTTATAACATATAGAGAAAGGTTGAAGTCAAATTGCTTTACAGGACAATCAAATATATATATTTGGACAAAATATTTTGAAAACTATTAACCAACTAAAGGCACAGCATCCAGTGGTGAATATCATACCTTTGCAGGTACAGTTATTGCCCATTTTAAACATTTACCACAATCAAAAATAACAGTTTATATTATCCCAGATGCTAGTTGAGAAGTCTCAACAACACTGAAATTCAGAACTGAGGCACAAATATACATAATCACATAACCATGGCAACAGTGTGTTACAGAACTTGGAAGAGTGATGTCACAATCTATACTGTGACATATATCAGCTGCTACATAGGCAAGAGTTATAATACAAGTTCAAGACCACATTTATCAATAAGTTAATGGTTTGGCAAGATGGCTCAGCTCTAAGTGTTGTTCAAGGCTGACAACCTGAGTTCAATGACCAGAACCCACAATGAAACTCCCAAAAGTCATCTTCTAGTGTACTATGTACTTTATGTACATATATTCACTCATGTACTATGGCATGCTTGTACCTGTACTCAACACACACACACATACACAAAGTGCACGCACACATGCACACACCGCACAATAATAATACTTTTTTAAAAGAAGAGGTTATTATACATGGTTTTTTGTGTTTCATAGTCTTTCCCTAATAATGTAATTACCAAACTGCATGTTTTGTCTCATCTGTTCTTATCACTATGTGTAGCTAGAGTTTTCTCCAGTCCTGCCTGGCCCACAGTCAGGACAAATCTCTCTCACCCGCCAGTCCCACAGCTGCTTAGACCCAACTGAATAAACACACAGAGACTTATATTGCTTACAAACTGTATGGCCACAGCAGCCTTCTTGTTATCTAGTTCTTATATCTTAAGTTAACCCATTTCTATTAGTCTATAAGTTGCCATGTGGCTTGTGGCTTACTGTTACATCTCGCTTGTCATGGTGGCAACTGGCAGTGTCTCTCTGCCTCAGCCTTCCACTTCCCAGAATTCTCTTCTCTCCTTGTCCCACCTATACTTCCTGTCTGGCTACTGGCCGATCAGTGTTTTATTTATTAACCAATCAGAGCTACACATTTGACATACAGAAGGTCCTAGAGCAACTGTGAGCTTCTTTGTCTAAATTTCTGAATTCACAGAGGAATTTTTCTATCAGTGAATTTAAAGGCTGAGCTACTGCTCCCTGAAGGAATAATAGGAAAAGTCATTTCCTGAGATCATTCTTTTGACAGATTAGTTAATGGTCAAGGGCATGAACATAATTATTATATTACTCAATATATTACCAAAAATAACCTTCACCATGTAGAATTAACTGTGTAATCTAGCTATAAAGGCCACATAGTCATGCATGCATTTGCATAAAGGTCATCCAATCCAAAACATTCATGTTATCTGATTATGAAAACAAGCTATGTAAATAAATGTAACCTTTCCCAAAATAAATGTAAGTGAAAAAGTAGGGTATATGTGCTGGTTTATAATTCTGAGAAGGTCTTCTTCCTGGTATTTCACATCACAGGACTAAATGGCATCAATGCTAATAGCTCACATATGTCTGGAATAATAACAGAGTTCATCTAAGGAGATATCTTAGAGTATCTATTGCTGCAAACAAAACACCATGACCAAAAAGCAACTTGGGGAGGAAAGGGTTTTTTAGGCTTATACTTCAGCATTGCTGTTCATCACTGAAGGAAGTCAGGACAGGAACTTAAACAGGGCAGGATCCTGTAGGCAGGATCTGATGCAGAGGCCATGGAGGAGTGCTGCTTACTGGCTTGCTTCCCCTGGCCTGTTCAGCCTACCTTCTTATAGAACCCAGGACCAGCAGCCCAGGGATGGCCCCACCCACCATGATCTGGACCCTCTCACATTGATCACTAATTGAGAAAATGCCTTAGAGTTTGATCTCATCAAGTCATATCCTCAACTAAGGCTCCTTCCTCTCTGATGACTCTAACTTGTATCAAGTTGACACACAAAACCAGCCAGTACAGGGGCCTATCAAAATTCCACTATAAAAATCAAATCCATGACTTATAAATACTGTTTTAATATAGATGTGCCATAATAACACTAGCAATCATTGTACATGGATAATAATAGAATAGGTGCAGGGGAAAAAAGACAATTCCATCTTTTTTGTATGTATACACAGAGAGTTAAAGGCCTGATGCTTGAAAAAAATGTATATTTTTATGAATATGTGTACACATGTTCCCATATAAGTACTATGTATTTTATATACTGCTGCAAGCTGCAGGAAAATATAATGGAATTCAGCTACTATCACAAAAGCTACTACTTGGAAAAGTCAAGGACTTCTCCAAAGGTCAAGCCATGGCTTAAGCAGTCTTGGTGATATTTTAGCTTTTGTATATACATTAGCTGGTTCCTAAAATGATTTCCTTGTATGCTTCCAAGAACTCCTAACAGTGTATTTATCTAAAATGCCTATCAAGCATCCATGGCCATACGAAACAACACCTGCCTCCTAGGTCAGGCAGATAGCTTTATTTCTTTTGCAATTTAGGGTGAGACCCTCCTTTCTTATATAACCTTACTAATAGACCCCTAAATTCTTACCTAACCACTTCTAGGAATGTGGACTGAGCACACAGACCTCCTTTGTGATACACTAACCGGTCATTAGCACTCAGGTGACCTCCTCTTTTACCACTCCCATTTTGGGTTGTAAAAGAAAGCCTGGTGGTCACTGCCTGAGGAAAATTCTTGCCTGCCTTTATGACCCTGTAGAATTCAAGCCTGGTGACCTTGCTTGACCAGGGGCTTGCTATTGCTTGGGTTTAAAAGTGGATTCCTGGGAGACTTAGGTGGAACGTGGAGAACGAAGAGAGACAGAGAACGGAGAGAGATAAGGATTTTGACCAGAGAGTACGTGTGGACAAGATGGAAGATGAGGAAGAGTCAGATGGGGAAGTACTAGCTGGGTAAGAACAAGATGAAAAGGACCTAGATGAGGCAGAATTAAGATGAGAGAATTAAGATAGAACTTAGAGGGAACAGTAGATAAATATAGAGAGAAATCAGGCAAGAAAGGAGCTAGGCATGAGAACAGAACTGAAGCTGTGTAAATAGGATGTTATCCCAGAGAAATTAAAGCAAGTGGACTATAGAGCTCGGTGTGCTGAGATTCTGTTTCCCAAAAATAGTCCTCGCCATTAGTAGTTCTCTCTCCTGAGCCCCTGGGATGTATAATATTAAGGCTAGTCCCTCTAATATTATACAAGATGTGACCTTGATGAAGGTGTTTGTCACTGGGAGTTTCAAGAGACTCCTACCACCACTTGGCCAGGTGGTGGTGGTGGTGGCGGCGGCGGCGGCGGCGGCGGCGGCGGCGGCGGTGGCGGCGCACGCCTTTGATCCCAGCACTGGGGAGGCAGAGCCAGGCGGATCTCTGTGAGTTCAAGGCCAGCCT